AGATATGTTCTTAAATTCAAAATCTTCCACTAATCCCTAAACTCCATCCTTGCTTCTGAACCCTGCCCAGAGTCGTCCTGATAATCTATCATCGGCTCCACTCCTCCACGTGATCGACCCACAACGCTGTTTGTCACGAACATTTCACCACTGTATTCCTCATCCGACATCACATTTTCTGTTTATTTTCCACAACACAAGTGATGCTGACTCAAAGCCATAGGGTTGGGTCGGCTCCGTTTATTCGCGGCCCCTCCCTGTAGGATTTTTTTTTTTTTTTCTCCCTGCGTTGTGTCACTTGCCACTTTGAAAGCCTTTTAAGGCAAACTTGAAATATGTACTTTGAGGTTTCTGGGGGTATTTAGTGGTTTGGCCCCTTCTTGTTTTTAACCACACGGCCGATGCAGCCTGGAGCCCCAAGTTATAGCTTCAAAACAATCAGTTTATTTCACCTCATCACAATGGTATTAGGCCATAATACCAGGACATAAAAAAGAGAAACGGTATAAACCCTGTTTATTTTCAAACCTATACGTTCTCTGTCGTTACTACGACCCCGAGTATTACTACGGTTGTTACTTCATCAGGCGCTGGGAAAGACTTGCTCGCTAGGAGATCCTGGTTCCTACAGGTCTCAGGGAAAACCATATCTTCAGGCGGTACTGTGGTACAGCACGGTAGTTTTGATAATTAGTTCAGAAGTCCAATAATAACAACGTTGTTTTCAGTTCAGGCGACGGTGGAGGAGTTTCTGTGGATCACCTTCTCCAGATCCTTTATCAAAGTGTTTCACTCTTTTATCTCCGTAAACAGTTCCCTGAGATTCAGCTGTTGTTGCCGTCCTTATTGGACGTTGTTGGGTGTGTGTGTGTGTGTGTGTGAGAGAGAAGGTGACAAATAAATGCTACTTGTTCCTCCTTATCACGCTCACAGAGCCTCCTTAAAACAGAGTCAACCTCTTATCTCCTCTATCAGTCACTGCATTCATCACACTGCTGGGTTTAAGTGAGAACACACACACACTCAAGCACATGTCAACACACACACACAACCCAACAGTGTGAAGTCCAGTCCAGTCCAGTCCAGTCCAGTCTAAAGTCTTGTAAAGTTAGGCGTGTCTTATTTGAAGGGACTTCAGAACATATATAAATATATATATATATATTTAGGAAGCTTTAAACCACAGCTCACAGCTGCCAGTAAATCAACCTGCACAGCACATGGTCTACAGGTGGGAAACCTCTCCCTCCTCCCTCTCCTCCTCCTCCTCCCCCTCCTCAATTTGCAGGCTAACGCAGCGTCTCACCGTCCGGCGAGAAGACAAATTGGCTAACTGTCCCACTGAACAGCCCACCTGTTATCTGATGTGATGGCTCACATGGGGAGTGGGGACAGGGGGACGGGG